AAGCACAAAATGTTTACGAGGTCAGTCCTTGGGACTGAACCCGTAGCAATGGGCAGGTAACACTGTCTGGAAGTATAAAAATTACCACAAATTTGAGTTCCTATTCTAAAAATGTCACTGTCTGCACAAGTGTAGCATTAACGGCATATTTATAGCCACTACAATAAAACAATAAATCCATGTTAACTTTTGTGGCTAATTGAAATTAGAAACATGACTTAATATAATTTTTATTCTAATGCTAACACAGATTTGGTGATATAGTATTGTACTAGTAATTTCAACAACTTAGAAACCAAAGCTATTAATAGTACAAGATTTCTAAGGGTATATTAATTGTTACATTAATATAAATGTTTTTAACTCTGAAAAAAAATATCACAGCATGAAGAAAAGTTTTTGAAATTATAAGGCACCCAAGCTCAGAATGTGACCCCCCTCTAGACCTTGAAAGAAAAACTATCTTTCAACAACACTCAAGCAAAGTATGAAGATTTTTACACCTATTTAATTCATTTTCACAACCTTGGCATTTATTTCATTTTATAGGACCTTCAATAAATTGTACAAAAATGTTCATTGTTATTTATCAACAAAAATATACCAACAGGACTGTTTTAAAAATGCTATTGAACAATTTAACACAATTATTATATTAAAATCAAGTAGGAAGAAAATCATAAACAACTTGGCATTACCTTTCTTCTTCTTTCAGAACTTTAGACAGCCAGTTAGATTTCACCTGCAATTTATTAAGTACTCTTTCTTGCTGTGACTACATATACAGAAGAATAAAAATGTATGTATGATAAGAGTCCAAACTAAAAACAAAGTTAATCATAAAACAACAAACACTGTGTACTGTTTTGCTAGTTAATTATCACGTCAATGATTACAAGGTTACTTCGCATTTTCTTTGGGTATTTTGAAATTCTTGAACCTAAACAATGTTGAAATTTTATCTTTTTTTTAAGTTATTTTTAAGTATAAATTATGCAACAAAACTAATACGTGGTTCTCCAAAACTATATATATCATTAAGTATATTTGTTTAACCTTAAATTCTTATTATAGAAGCAGTGAATAAAAGACATAGCAGTGAGATGGATTAAACCTAATGAATCTTCTGAAGTTTGTCACAAAAATTTAAAGATTTCCTCTAGATAAGTGCTCTTTTTACAATGGGAATAAAAATTGTTATCTTTACATGCATATAAGCCCAGAGGTGAGATCCCTCTCATCAGCACAGTTGCTTTTAGAAAGAAAACTGAAGGTCAAAATCCTTTGGGGTTAAGTGACCTTAAATCTGAATAAATTAAGACAGTTTTCCTAAGCAACATAGTTTCCAAATCTAAACCCTTTAACTTAAAGCTTTTTCAATTTTTTAATTGACTTCTGTAAATCAATAAATTATTAAACTTTTTTTACAACTCTACACATTAAGTAGTTTCACAAAAGTTTGTTCCTTGAGATCCATTCACTGATTGCAGTTTTATGGAAGGGCTAAAATATAACTTTCCTAAATTTTACCAATTCAAACTTCTACTTCTTCATCAAAAAGGGCCACAATGTGAACACTTTAATAAAACTCTTTCATTTATTGACAATTTTAGTTTTAGCTGTTTTCAAAATCATAAATGTCACTAAGTAAACTAAGTTCTCTATTAGAATGTGAAACCAAATATATATATGTAACCTGAAATATGCCCCTAACCATATATGTATATATTGTTATGACAGCGGAAGTCATATGTACATATTGTTACGTATCTGGTCGTTTGTTAATTTTCTGTATAAATTCTTTCTGAGGAACTTTAGCGACACAGGTCTTTTCCTAATTAAAACTAGTTTATTCTTTCTCGATATAACTTTGTAATACACAGAATTTCCACAGTCAATACGTCTGCAATCTCGATAACAAAACGCATGCTTTATATTACTGTCACTACCACTCACTTGACTCAATTATCTGTCTATCTCTTTTCGCTGGCTTTATTTGCCGGGCTTATATATTAAAAAAGAGGGTGCCTGGAACAAACTAGAGTTGCCAGAAAAATTCATGATCCTTCTAGAAACTCCAGCATGCATGCTCCCAGCATCGTGTATTAAATACGGTAACAATTATAAATACTCAAAAAATCACCGAACATAAGATCAAATATAATTAGTAAAAAAACTGTAACCATACTTCCTGGTTCCTTGCAAAAAAGTAGGATAACATTGAAGAAAATCCATTATGTTGAGGATTTCCATAAGCAAGAATAAAGAGTTCTTATTCTGGACTTGAAACAAAGCTTTCTGGCCACTATCTAATGTTTATCAGTTAATTTAAAAGTTACTTGACGTCAAGTAACAAAAGAAAATTCATGAGTTAAATGGCCTTAGTGGATATAACTTGGCTACTGGTGTGACTTTCCAGGAGTTGCATTTTTGGTTTCACATTTTTAATAAACTATCAAATTTTAGCTGTATTTTGTGACAGTAATTACATTTCCTAACAAGAAATGAAACAAAACTGAAACACCACTTGAATACATTGTTTTTAATTGACATTTTAAATTTGGAGAATCCCACTAAAAGATGTGCAACAAGCTACTGGAAAAGGCTTATTGCTTAATTATGTAGAGTGGTTTTTCCCATATATTTTGTCTGAATACTCATAATCATGCCTGGATTATCAACTGGGAAAAAAAATGCATGTGGTCATTGGTTAAACACTAGAATTTGCTGGCTTTCTTCCAGCTAGCCATAACTGCAGCTAATTTAAAGCCCTGGTACATGGGGAAAAAAAGAAAGATCACTGCAGATACAGATGTTAAGTCACTTTTTTTTTTCAAACAAACTACTTTACCAAAAGTGTGTCAACTTTGTAATAATCCACTGTTGTAACAGGTGCCTTCACTAGTTTCATTACTGATTCAATTCTAATGAAAAACAGAAAAATAAATAATGTCAAAAAAAAGTTGATTAATCAACCACAAATTGTATTGCATAAAGTTATTGCTACTTATTATAATTGCTTAATAAATAAAGGCAAGTTCTATATTTTTTAGTTATTTTCTAAACTTCACTGAAAAATAAAATATAATTTGATATTTACCTTTTCTGTAGCAAACCCATAACTTCCATTGTACTTGATTGATAAATTGTTCTCTGTTTTTCAAGCAGGATGCTATTATAAAATTTAATTAGTAAAACTTTACTATCTTATAAAAAATCTCTAGTCTGAACTCATTCATATAAAAAATATACACTGACAAACAACTTTCTTGGGTCTCACTCGTGTTCATTCATTAAATTAGAGGTTTCATTAAGAATATGTAACTTTTATTACATGCATAAAAAGGATTGAAAATGCTTATTAACATTTTTTAAAAGATAGAGAAGCATTTAGAAAAAAAATCAATGTTTTAAATGGAAATCTTGCCCACTGCCTATAAATACTCATTTATATAAAGTCATATCAGTTTGTTTTCTTCACAACCCAAGATGAAAGAATTCCAGCCATCACTTTGTGTAATTTATACACACAAAGGGACATCCAACAAATATTGGAGAATGGATGGATAACACTTATTCCCTCTAGCTGCCTTTCCCTGATTTTATTTCCTGTCAAACAATGAATGATGTTATGATGAACATCACTTTTTTCTTCTCATTTTGTTTGATCAGGATTGTGATTCTTAATTTTTTTTACATGTAGTATGTATTGCATCACGTACTGGAAAATATAAAAAATATGATCAACTACGATTTTAATAAAAAAATAACCTTTGGTTCCCACTGTAATGGAACAGCTAAATCTTGCTTGTTGCTAGATAATAATGCAAAAAAATCCACACATGTATGCATAAAAAGTTGAATTGATATAACAAACAAATGAACAAGATGGCCAAGCATAATATTAAACATATGACTGGCATGGTCAAATAAATCTTTATTCTCATTAAGAATAAAACTGGTCTGCCCTTTTCCACATCACAAATGCCTCCAAAACATTTTGAGACAAATTGTACAAGTTTGAAACTTTTCATTTTTCATGAAACACCTGAGAATACTTTTATTTTTTCATGTACAACATACACTTAATGTGTCCAATAACTGCTTGATACAGAGATGCAGTGATATTATGATTAGTCTGCAATATAGTATGTAAGACAAAGGATCTCCTAAGCCTTCAAAAAAGCATAATAGATGCCAACCTAGAAAAAGTGTTTATTATCAAAGACTATTTGGTTATTCAAAGATATCTATCCTTAGATTTAAACAGCAGTGGTATTTGAAAAGGAATGTCTTCAACTAGGAAAATCATACATGTTAACTGTTTGTGGCAGATTAAAAGAAAACAAGATTGGAAAACGTTGTAAAGTGCAACAGAAGTCAACCAGTGCCAAAATGACCAATTCCTTCAACAGCAGTCATCTCCAACTTCATCATGTGAAGAAAAATATCATATATCAACCAAAAACCACTTAGATGTAAACAAGGAAACATGGCTTCTATGGTGTTTAGAATACAAACTGTGTTAAACTAATGTCTGGAAGTATACAACAGAGAGAGAGTTGATACATTATATTACAACAATTTTAAATATGCAAATCACATGATAACCATAGCCAACATAAAGTTGTGGTGTAATGGCATGTATTAGAACTATATTTTGACATTGGTTTTTCGTAGGTAGTGTGATGCCACCCAAAATTTTCTTTTGGGCAGAGTATGTAACAGCCCTCTCCAACATAACATATATACTCAGATCATAAATATGTGTTCAGATAAGGGATTTAACATTTCCAAGACAGGGATATTCCTTGTACTTAATGGCATTAAAAAGACAAAGAAAAATGGATCAACTTAGTACACCAGGACCACCAAAAAAAACAACAGACATGCAATAACCTATACTCCAACCATGGTAAGCAAAGTGTAATGTTTTGTAACAGGTGGATAAACACAAAGGTCAGTGGATAAAGCCATTCACATACCCATCAAAAAAGGATCTACGTCTGAAAAAGCAACACAAGTCACTTCCACAATATATCCAGGAAGGAAAGACTAACTGTGTGAATGGTACCTACCTGAGGCAAAATGGCAGTTATAACACTTAACAAAGCATATGTGTACCTTTATACCTGTAACAAACTTTATGCCATTTTCTACTAATCAATGACTGAAAAACATTTCTGAAAGTAGAACATGGCAGTTCCTGAACCTTTTTCAAAGGGATTCATGATCACTGCTAGATACTATGCCAGGGGCAAGTTAAGGATCAGGAGAGGAGAGTGAATATAAATTTTATAGTGAACTCTGCTTACTATTAAAACTAATGTCCTGGACCCTTTGTACCACACAGAAATACTGGATTTTTACAGAAATAAGGCCAACATGGTATGGGTTCACCAAGGTAAGGCTTTCAGTCATACCTCCTTTTTAACAGTTGTATAAATCAAGCAGCTATAGAATGAAATGGACATGCATGCTATTCGATATGAAGACATATCATTCGAGTCGCTAATATGCAGTTTATGAATTTCTTTGTGATTGGACTAATGAAAAAAATGGCTACCAGGAAACGTCCTCATACCCTAGATGGATATAGAAAACAAGCAGGGAGTAGTGATGTGCTTTAGACACACCACTCCTTATGACAGTATGTTTTATAGTGGAAACTATGCTGCTGGCTATTGTCAAGATGCACAGTCATGACAAGATGTGGTAACACAGACTGTAATGATGTGGTGAAGTTCCAAGATTGTATTAATATCTATAGCCCAATGAGTCACATTTCACTTTTTCTGTTCTGACAGCACAGTAAAAATAATCCGACATGCTAATATTGTCCAAAATTGATTTGAAGAACATAATGACTTTAGTCATTTTCCTTTCCTAGCACAACCACCAGATGTCAATCCAATTAAGCATCTTTTGGATAAAACTGATCATCATATTCACCATCAATCTGGTGTAGACATCTTGGGACTAACTACAGAGCATATGCAATGAAGAGTAGGCTACAGCCTAACATGACACCTTCTAACATCTTGCGAGATGTATACCATGCTGAGTCCAAACTATTATCACAATAAAAGATGTTCAAGCTCATATGAGGTAGGAGTCATAAAAAGGTGGTCAATTAGTGCATTTTAAGTTTTATGTGCTAGTTATATTTACAAAACTATTTGCAAATAATTACCTAAATAAAAGTTTGTGCAATGTAAAAAGTTGCTTTTATCTCATTTAACAAACATTGTTATTGCTTATACATTTTACTGGAAATTCACACAAAAAAATGTTTAGCAAAGTTTGCAAAATAAGTTTTAATCCTTATATTGCTTATATTTTAATTTTTATATCAATAATGATTTCAATTATTTCAAGATAAGTGCTTGAAATTATTCTAAGCATACAACATGTGCATAAACTGGATTAGGCCATTTTCATTTGGAAGAAAAAGCCAAAGAAAAAACATTATCCCAAAATTCTTATTCTAAAAAGTACTAAATATACCTAGTTGAAAAAGTAATGATATCTTTTATATATTTGAATGTTGATTCTTTTAATGGTGCCCATTTCTGAAACTTTGACTTAGGTATTGTATATGCACAATAAAAACCCTTTTCCTCTTCATGTTTGATACTGGGTGATGTCCTCTTTGGTTTAATTTTTACTGTTCTTTGCTTTCTTCTATTTTCTTTTGTGCTTTGTCCCATCTGTGATGATTTTGAATTCTTTTTATTAGATTTGGGCCTTCCCATTGTGCATGGTACCTGTTCAAATAAAATAATGGAACTGTATCAAAAATTAGTTTTAATAGACAGTTATTATCCGTAGTTAACTATGTGGGTTACAAGTTTCAAAAGTTACCATAAATGAAAGTTAGCATTTTCCTAAACCAAAAATGCATTTCTGATAAATACTCACAAAAAGCTTTTCTTGACTTATACTTCCCTCTACTGATGTAAATCTTCACTTGCCACTGGCCTTGATACTCCCACTTATCCTGACACATATTAACTTGAGATATCTATATACTGATAAGCAAATGATTATGCAGCAACCCTCCACCAATGGGAGTGTGACACTACCCCTATTGTAGCTAGTGCCCTCTAATCTTACAGCTGTTAATTACTTCTCAATTGGCAGTCTTTTTGTATAGACATGTTTTTCACTCACGTTTGACTTACGCAAACATTTTTACTTTCTTATTTTTCAGGCATTTCAACTTCTTTTTGAATCAGTTACATTTGTTATTTAACATTTTGTTAATTCTGGTGGGAAGTTACCACCACTCAGTTGAGAGTAGAGTGGTGGCATTCTGCCAGTGTAGATGGCGTGACACCCTACCTGCGACAGACCTGATGTACAATTCCAGAAGCTGCCAGGTGTTGGATGTAGCACTATGCCATATATTGCAGTTTGCCCCTTTGGCTGAGCCCTTCCTACTGACAATCAAACCTTGAGCAGGTATGATAGGACAATCTTCAGTTTATTCTGGAAGTTGCATGAAATTGACCAATTCCTGAAGCACTAGAACTGTCATTTCATATGCCAACAACCTTGGTTCTGACTCCGTGTATGTGGGCAGAAAATCCACTGCAGGAGCAACAGCAGTTGTCGTGATCACCTGAAACAGTGAGTGCAAAACTGTCAGAAGTGAAGCAGGAGAGAAGAGGGAAAAGAAAATATATAAATTTTGTTCACTTTCAGAAGAACAGACCTTCATGGTCCACCATCCCAGCAGCTAGAAAATGGAAAGGACTCCCATACTCCACTATAAGGAGGAGGGAAAAAGTGCATTGGAGAGTCTGGAGAATTCCAGGACCAAAGACAGTGCAATGGATAACTGCAATACCCTATTTTGAAAAGCAATGTCAGCACATTAACAGAGCTGATCAAACAATACCTAGTGGCATCTGGAAGTGTATATCAGGTCTGCAGTAGAAAGAGCCTCAAATGCCACAGATCGTCAGAGATGGGCAGTAATCCCAGTATACTTTACTTATGTTAATCCATGAATGTATGGTCTGAGATGAACATGTTTATGTAGTAAAATACTGCAAGGTTTACATTCAGAACACCCCATCTCAATGGTGGGCATAATACAATCTGTTATATTACATTGTATTTTCAAAAGCAGAGAGATCATGTTGACAGAGTCGATCAACCAGCATCTGGTGCCATCTGGAATTGTACATCAGGTCTGTGGTAGGAAGAGCCTCAATACCACGGAGATGTTATATGAACACAGGTCTTACAGTGGATTTAAGACTATGTATACCCGCTCAGGCAACACTTGCCACACAATAGAATCTAAATATACTAGAAAAGCCACTGCAAAGAAAAGAAAATGAATGGAGTACTTACCACTCACTGAGAAATACAGGTATAAAGGTAGGCAGAGTGGTCCACATACCTGCACTGATGATGTCTCCCAAAGGAAGATGGAAATGTGCAGCCAGGAACAAAGGTAGGTGATGGATCTGATGGGATAAAACATGAAAAAGATAACAAACATCAGAAGAAAAGGGAAGAACACACCAGGTGACTCAACTGGAAAACCTAACCCATAAGGATAATGGGAGAAAGGTCGTTGAAGTGGTTAGGAGTCCAAGGAATAAACAAACAGAAACATGAACCATGGAAGAGAGCAGGGCATGTCAAAGAGCCCTGACCTTGCAAAGGAGGCAGTCAGAATTAGAACAGTTATAAAAGTGGGATATGGAATGAAGAGAAATGGGTCTGAATGCAGAATTACACTCTCAACAGCCAAAGTAACAATCTGGAAAGAGGATAATGTAGGAACTATAAAACAAAAACATGGTGGATATCAATAGTGAACACAACTGAATAAGATGCTGGCACATCAATATGAGTAAGAAAAGGGACTTCAAGCAAAGTGAAATAATGAAGACAAAGGTTTGAAAAAAGGATGGGTAAAAGCATGCAGGGCCACACTGATATTCCAAACAAAGAATGAAGCACGGCGAGGAGGACTGGAACTGTGGAAGGAATGAAACATGGACAAGACTGGTGACTGGAACATGCAAGCCTATTTGGAAACCTAAAACATGGCTGCAAAAGCTGCCTGATAGCCCACAACAGAGGAAACTGAAAGGCCTCTGTCAAAAATGGACATGAAGTGAGGAACATTAGGATGGGATGGATGATAACTATGTGAAACAGACCAACAGCAGTACGTGTACCACTTACGTTAGTATACCACCATGGAGGAAGGATAGACATGATGGGAAGTTAAGGAAGTCACATGATGCAAAAGTCTAGCTCTACTGGTAAGGGACCATATAAATAACCATGCGTGAAGATAGAGTGTGAGAACAGATGATGATGCATGCTTGATTGGGGCTGATGTTAGAGCATTGGAGATAAAGGAAGGAGGGCAACATCAAAAGCTTGCACAGCAGTGGAACCCACATTTGAGCCAGTCAATATGGTGCCCCAACAGAACACAACAAGGAGTTGTCTGAATTTTGGGGAGGAAACATGGGAGGAGATGAATAGTAGGATATGCATATAGGTACCAACCCATCTAATCCAGACTGAGAGCACCTACTGTCCCAGCCAAGGATAAGGAACAGGAGACCAAAATCGAGGAAGATATGTATGGATGTGGCAAGAGCATCCAAATCTGGAACACCCCACTGAGCACACAATCTCTAAAAAACTTGAGGATCCAAAAACCACTACAAAGGTAGAATCTTGTTTGGATTGGATAACTGATCCACAACAAGAGTCAGGGCAACAAAGTGACATGATGGCTGTGGGCCCAATATAGGAGATCCAATGTTTGAAAACAGAGGTCTCTCGATTCAGTGCCACTAGCCTGAAGATGTATGAGACGGATATAGAATTTTCAGAGTATACCATAACCAACCTGCCCCAAAGAGCCTGCAGGAAGTGAAGTAAAGATCAATGAACCACAAGGAGATCCAAGATTGATATGGAGAGAGGACTTGAAAAGAATCCTTAATGCCAAAACCTCTTGAGTGTCAAGATATATCCCCAACCAGAAAAAGAAGCATCTGTTAAAAGATGGACAAGGAGGAAGAGGAACACCCATAGCAGTGTTGTTTCAGCCACCAGATGGAGTCTGTCTGGAAGGAAGGGGAAAGGGTGAGAGGGGCATCTATGGGATCCCAAACATCGTTCCATTGGTCTAACAAAACCCACTGAAGATGACAAATGTCGGTGCAACCAAGAGGAATGAGAGCTTCCAAAGAAGCCCACTTGCCCAAAAGAATGAGAAATTCTCACACAGTTAGAGAAGTAGAGGAAGAAACATTGCATACGAGATGTTCCATAGCTCTCAAATGAAAGGGAGAAGGTTGGGCTCAACTGATCATGAACTAGAAAAATACCCAAAGGCGAACGAAAAATTTTGTCATGGGTGTAAAAAAAAACTTTTCCATCTTGACAAGCCAACCCACCCTGGCATCTTCCTGGAGAAGAAACTAAGTAACTGGGGCAGATTCTTCAAGTGAGAAGACCAGAAGTAGCCAGTCATTCATGTAATGATGGAAACAAAAGCCCCTAGCATGAATCAGGTGGGAAAATGCCCAGACTATGCAACAGAACCCATAAGGCACCAAGGCAAGTCTGAATGGAGTGCCTGAAACACACACCCTTGAAGAACAAAATGAAAATATAAACTGGATGCATGGGATGTGAGAAATATTACTCTATGGTGAACTTGGAAAAGACTAAGAAGCAATTCAGAGATGATAAATCAATGACTGGGCACCAATCCTCCATTTTGTCCATCGAGTGAGGTGGTCCTTCTCTTCTTGGGGTTTCTTCTCATCAGTTTGTTGTTCCCCCACTTATGGTGTAAGGCTTGAACCACTTCCAAAAGAAGCTGACATGAAACAGGATCTGTGATTGGACCCTCTGAGACAACTCACAGAACCCAAGTATCCACAGCAAAGTTCCTCCAAACGTGGGCAAAGTGAAGGAGTCTGGCCCTCATGAGCCTTAACCCAAGAACATAGTCACTGAAACTGAATGTCCTGAAAATGACACCTGACATGGTACCAACAAGCCAGAACTGGCAGAAGAAAAGGCAACTGAAAAATTAGGGTCTGATCCCCACAAAAGGATAAGCAACTCCAATTGTTATGAGTATAAATAATGAAAGTCAGAATGATGATAATCAAAATCGTCCATAGTATGTGGGAGTTAAGGCATACTGACTCCTGAATGCAATTGCTCCCCCAAAGCAACTCACATGAATCCTAATATCTGGGGAAAGAGGAAACACTAAATACTGACCTATAGACTCGTCCCTGAGAAGGTTAAAGGTGGAACCATAGGGAACGGGAGATAAGGACAGAACATAACCTCCCTGATTAATCAATTCCACAAAAGGTGAAGGGGCCTGGGCAATTCCTCCCAAAGACACACGATTGAGAGGGACATTCAGGAGTGAGAAAAAAGGCTGTCCAAGTCTGCCTCTTCCAAATCAATCAAGCCTTGAGCAGGTTTGATAGGACAATCCTCAGTTTGTTCTGAATTTTGCATGACATTGGTCAATTCCTGATGCACCAGAGCCATTACTTCATGTGCTGAGGGACATTCAGGAGTGAGAAAAAAGGCTGTCCATGTCTGCCTCTTCCAAATCAATCAAGCCTTGAGCAGGTTTGATAGGACAATCCTCAGTTTGTTCTGAATTTTGCATGAAATTGGTCAATTCCTGATGCACCAGAGCCATTACTTCATGTGCTGACAATCTTGATTCCAACCCAGTGTATGT